GTCGGCCCAGGAAATGAGCACGAGAGCCTGATGATATAGTGGCGGACATCCCAGATCAGACAAGGAGGCCAATAAGCCGATAGAAAGTCGGCTAAACCTTTGTGATTACACTAATGTCTCCAATCGCTGTTCAGTTTGCTGGACATAACAAACAAAGGATGTTTTTATTTCATTTCGCCTCCGTCGCATTGCATTTCCAGAATCAAAGCGTCCCCGTAGCATCAGTATCGATTTCATTTGGTTTAAATTACTGTTTGATTCTTGAACAGTTCACAGCTTCATTCAATGCAATATTACCCATTGTGTGCAGCATTATTTGAAAATGAAATTTACATCAACATAACGTGATACAATAAATCATTTTTTCTGAGAAAATGAATTCGTCATTTGTTGGTACAAAAGGTTCGTGGATGTCATTCAGTCATCAATTTTGTTTAAACGACCTCACCATGTTCGTGCGCATTTATCTCGACATTAAAATAGTTAAATGGGAATATAACACATTTCCCCAAACCTATTAGCCTATTTGTATAATGTGTGCGTGTCAGCATCAACGCATACGCACGTTATTTCTCTGTTTTCTAATGCAAAAATCGATATTCTCCCAGTTATCATATGTGGTCTCATGTACAGCGCACAACTGTCAAATCAGGCGAGGATAAGTAACGTCAGTCATATAAATGGATAATATAAAATGAAATATTATTATTAGGGCTCCAAGCCGAAAGGCTGTAGAGCCCTATTATAATCGTTCGATTTATTATTATTATTATTATTAATATTATTATTATTACGATTATTATTATTTACGGATTAAAATAAAAAATGCAGCAAAGAGGGTTTGGGTGATCCTGGCCGGGTCAGGCTGGTTAGACTCATCATCAGCTCAGGGCCCTTGCCCCTTCATCACGCAGCCCAGACAGCGAATGGGACTTTTCCCAGGAAGCGCTGCCTAGTCAAACCCACCCAGAACTTTTCGGAGAATGTGAAGACTCCCCAACACTGCAGCCTTCTGCATTACCCAGATTGTCAGAAGGGCTGTATTCCTGGTAGCAAACCCGGGTACTCTCCCAGTGTCAGTCAACAGACCTAAGGTACCGAGAACAATGGGGAGTCGGACAACTTGGTACTTGGGATGCAAGCGTGGCATTTCGAAAGCGAGGTCCGCATATTTGCCATTATTATTATTATTATTATTATTATACAGGTTAAATACAACATGCAGCAAAGAGGGTTTGGATAATCCTGGCACAGTCAGGCTGATAATTATTATTATTATTATTATTATTGGAAAATGGTCTAAATGGGGTGTCATACCTTTATCCTGCAAATGATGATGTCATTCTCAGAGCAATGGTACACTTTGATTTGCAGAGATAACTCTTTCAACCATAAATAGAACATAGTTGTTCTGCAATAGGCGTCTAAGTTTGTTAAGAAGGGATATTTGTTACAGTGCAACTGCGGGGAGTCAAACCCGGCCGGTAGACCCAAGAAGCATCATTCACTGTACCGCTCGGTAAATTAAACACACTCCCACACAGCACATGTATCCCACGGGGAGATGTGATTGAAGTGCCACCAATTTATTGGCATGAAGATAAAAGGGTATCTCCTTTTGGTCAGCCGTTAGGGAATTTTCAAAATTCATAGGTTCAAGAAAAGGCAAATCTCAAAACCTATTTTCAGCACATCCTCCCTGGTGGTTTGAGGAAAGATCTTTGAATTTTCCTATAAATATTAAAACGTGAATTATATAATCATTCCATGAGACCCGTATTTAAGCCTTTTTGAGTTTGACTTGTTAATCTTTCAAGACTGGTACTACAGTAAACTACGGTTATAACGAACACGCTTAAAACGAACTGACGGATATAACGAACTTACTTTTTTGGTCCCAACTATTTGTTGTAGTTATGTTGTATATATGCTTATAACGAACTACGGTTATAACGAACTAAAATTAGCAGTCCCTTTGAGTTCGTTATAACCGTAGTTTACTGTATTGTGAAAAAGTTGTTTGTAGTGATAGCGTATTATGGATGGGGACAAGGAAAGCAGTGCATCACATTCTCTGTGAGCGACTGAGGCGCAAACGTATTGATTGTTATAAAACATTGAGAGCAGGACAGTTATGGATCCTCTACGCGAGAGACGTATTACTCCAGCTTCGACTCCCCGAACGAATATCCTCGATTCTTTCAGTTTATAAAATCCATATACATTATTCTGCAACCCCCATGGGCTGAATGAGGCCCAAAGACGATGTGTCTGCAGGGTTAGTATTTCAGGTCTGGGAACATTCAATACTTGGAGGTCACTCACAGTGTTGAAGTCCAAAAAATGATTAAAAGGTTTATTGCATTCGGATAAAAAATACACAGAATGTTTTCGAAGGAGATGGGTCGTGGTAGCTAGAACCATATTGTATTCCTGTCTTGAATTTAATAACCGCTTTTTAGAATGGAACAGAAACAGCACTGGCACGATTTCCTGTCCACGACGTCAAGGGGCACGAAAGTAGACACGGAGTTGCTAATTGTTGTGATGTTTGAAGCGATCTGGCTGCTCCCACAAAGAACCCCATTACTGTTCGTTTCATTTTCGTTTTAAAACTACAAAAGAAAAGTTTCGATATTTTAAACAATTCGCGACGATGATTGTTGAAAGGATGCAAATAAAAGCTTTGTCTTGTATGTGCTTTTTATTATGCGATTTGTTTGCGTTATGTGAATAATTTGACGTCAGCGAATAAACCCACGCTTACCGTTAAAGGCGACTATGCTTGTCGTAAGAGGCGACCAACGGCATCGGGTGGTCAGGCTCGCTGACTTGGTTAATGCATGTCATCGTATCCCAAATGCGTAGATCGATGCTCGGGATGTCAATCACTGGCTTACAGATAGATTATTTACAGACCGCCGCCATACAGCTGGAATATTGCTGAGTGCGGCGTTAAACAACAAACAAATATAGCGAAATTCGGCAAAACGAAATGGCCTTCTCGAAAACATGAATGTGATGGATGCTGAATGTATGCCTTTCATTTAAGTGCTGAGTGCGGCGTTAAACAACAAACAAACAAACTTTGGCCATTATCATAAGGAAAAAACAAACCATTTATGTCGGTGTGTTGCATTTACATACAATTTGATTATATAACGTCAACGCCAGAAATTAACCAATCTCTGTTGTCCCCCCGAAACAGATTCCATTGGGCCATGAATGGATCACTGTACATCAGTGATGACACTAGATGTTCGCCAAAAAAGGTAAACATGTCTTGTCCTACCGGTAGCACCTTTTACGGCAAGCATGGGTTTCTGAAGACCAGATTCCGGGGAAGAATTGATCTTCAGCAACCCATGCTTGTCGTAAAGGGTGACTATTCTAGTCATAAAAGGCGACTAACGGGATCGGGTGGTCAGGCTCGCTGACTTGGTTGATGCATGTCATCGATCCCAATTGCGTGAACCGATGCTCATGATATCAATCACTGGAGTGTCTGGTCCAGTCTCGATTATTTACAGACCGCCGTCATATAGCTGGAATATTGCTGAGTGCGGCGTTAAACAACAAACCAACCAAACAACCGGTAGCACCAGCTACTTACACACTTTGGATGGCCAAGTCGTCTAATGCGCCGCAATTCGCTGTGCAGAGTTGCGTTCTTCGACTCGACAGAAACATATGAGCGTGGGGGGGCACGAGTGGCCCAGTCGTCTAAGGCGCCGCGATTCGCTGTGCAGAGTTGCGTCCCTTGGGCACGCCAGAAACCTATGATTGTGGGTTCGAATCCCGGTTCGCCCCAATTATGTTTCTAGGTTTGTCAGCACCATACCCGTGCTCGTGGGTTTCACCGAAGTGGTAAACGTCTGAGACCTGCATCACTTCGGGCTTTCCTCCCACATTAAGCTGACATGCCGCGATATAACTGGAATACTGTTAAAAGCGGCGTTAAACCCAACTCACTCACTCACTCACTCATATGAGCGTGGGTTCGAATTCCGGTTCGCCCTGATTATATTTCTAGGTTTGTCAGCATCATACCGGTGCTCGTGGGTTTCACCGAAGTGGTGAACGTCTAAGACCTGAGTCATTTCAGTATTTCCTCCCACAGCAAGCTGACATGCCGTGATATAACTGGAATACTGTTAAAAGCTGCGCTAAACAAAAATCACTCGCCCACCTGTTCTTCTGAAGTTGATACTCACGTTATCAGTCTCTTATTGGCAAATTCTGTAATTGCTTACAGAATGTATGATTATTTCCAGTTGTTGAACATTTTCTGTAGCATTATTTATTTTGATCATTCATACAGCCTTAGCCAAATTCAGTACTTGAGAACCAATACCCTCTAATCAACAGTATTGCTTGGACCATTAAGTGAGTGATTGAGTATGGTTTTACGCCGCTTTTAGCAATATTCCAACAATATCCTCTGAACAGTATTGCTTGGTTGCAATGTGTAATAAACATTCCTTCCGACCCGTGAAAATCCGGTGTTAGAATTTGTCTTCAGCACCAAATGCTTATTATAAGCGGCGACTAACGGGATCGGGTGGTCAGGCTCGCTGACTTGGATGATGCATGTCATCGTATCCCAATTGCGTGGTTTGATGCTCATGATGTCAATCGCTGGATTGTCTGGTCCAGACTCGATTATGTTTGTTTCTTTTTTAACGCTGCACTCAGCAATATTCCAGCTATATATCGGCGGTCTGTAAATAATCGAGACTGGACCAGACAATCCAGAGATTGACATCATGAATATCGATCCACGCAATTGGGATACGATGACATGCATCAACCGCCTGACCGCCGTCATATAGCGGGAATATTGTTGAATGCGTCGTAAAACAACAAACAAACAAACAAAACATCCCACGCACACGCCATACCCACTTTGACAAGTCTGTCAAGAATTGCTGTCATTTTACTGTCACAGACAACCTTACTGAGAGAACGAAGCAAACAATTGTGTAAGTGACATAGTTTTTTATTACGAAGCACCACCAAACAGAAGTGCGTGGTGTAGTTTTACTGTGTACGGACATATAAAAATTAACAAGTCAATAAGAAATACATAATCTGAAATATATAAACAACTACTGCAACAAAATACGACACGAATCACAGGAACTGGAATCACATTGTATCACCGCGGCCAAATATCAGCACCCAAGCATTCATAGGGACATCATTCCATTCATAAACCATGAAACATCTTTTTGATGCATAATGTTGCACTGCAAACACCGGGAGTTAATTCACGTGTAGTCACGAAGCTTGCTGTGCATTATGTTAAAGTCAACCAGTTTGATGCATGGCAATCGATGCCGTCCCGTCAAGTTGTAAACATAAGAAAACTTATGAAAATAATATAATTTTGTTCGGAATGCAGGATAATAGTTGACTGACAAAAATCTAAAAAAACACTACATTCAATTAAAACCCAATCATCTTTCTGCATATAGGAATTGTAATCGGGGATCCAATACTTTTGTGTACACAAATACTCAGTAAAAAAGGTGTAAAACAATCATCCGAAGAATATATTCTAATGGTAAAGGATTTCATTAGCATACAAATTAGTAGGTGACTTCTAAGTAATGAATCTTGATGCAAAGTTGCAGATCGTTACACATACACACTTCTTTGGAATATATATCTGGTATCAATCATACTTACTACAGTTAGTCAAAAATATCTACATTGTATTCAAGCCTGCAGAAATACAGTCAAAACTTTGATTCTGACTCTGGTATATTTTCTCTGACAATTAAAACATTATTTAACAATGAAATGTATATTTCACATTCCAATATCAACATATCAAATATAAATTATATATTTTGTTCACAAAAACGAGTATCGTACATTTGAGAAACATGAAGAATGATTGTCAAACATAAGTTCAGTTCACTGGCTTGGAAAACAGTAAATCCAGTCTAAAAATACATATTTTCATTTCACGTTTTAACTTGGTCAACGTCAAAGGACTCGCATGCTGTGATATGTCCCATATACTATCATATAAAATAAAAAGCGACACATCCCTTTTCATATTCAAAGAAATCTGTCAAAACGGAGTCTGTTGATTCCGACTATACCATGGGCATGCGTTCATGAATCACTATAAGATAGTGATGATACCAGGTGGGTCTATCCTGACCCACCAGTGGCACCCGTCACAAACCATTCACGTAAAGTCCGTTAGATGATATCGTTGTTTGACTTAATACTTTCACCTTTAAACATGGTACAGGTGTTCAACGGTTCAGTTCACATTCGTCAATCTCTTTGAAAACAATCCCCTTTCTACTTCACACATAAGTCATATTTCAATCCACTGACTTCCCAGCATTAACACGATCAGCAGTTATCTTCAACCAGAACCATTCACCGGCATTTATGTCCAACTCTTTTTTTTCTTCTCTTCCTCACGCCCCACATCTGAGGTCTTATATATCCTATTCAAGACAGGACATGAATCGTTGCACACTTATACAGTTAAGGCAGACTGAGTTCATTTTACAGTTCTGGTAAAATAGGGAACACATTTTTCGTCCAGAAGTTGCACCGAGCTTCTCTGTTTTAAAGGGTCGTACACCTCTTGTGTCATGTACTGCTTGGAAATAGACTCGGAGCTTGCTGCATGTTTACGAAGCAAGATCTCACGAAGTTCCTGCCGCGATTTATGACTTCTAAAAACATATACCAGAGGATCCATTGCAGAGCTGGCAAGAGCTAGAGCAATGGACAGTGTTTGTACAAATGGTGGCACTTTGTGATCACTTTGAAGTAGAGTCTCCAGGATGATGACAGTGAAGTAAGGCAACCAGCATCCAATGAAGGTAAGAAAGACAATGATGCTTGTGACCGCTGTTCTCCATTCATCGCGGTACCACAGGAGGGCACCAAGCTTGTGCACGCTGAATTTCCTTCCCAGAATAGGAGCAGTACTGCTTCGGCGTCGTTTATCCAGAATTATTGGACTGTGACTGGTCTCTTCTAGTATTCGTGGGACTAAGCTGTTGCGACGAGTTTTCTGGCTAATGAGCTTGGCAGCCCGGAAGATGACAGAGTAGACCCATACCATGACGATAAGGGGAAGTGCAAAACATATACATACGAGGAACAGATTGTAGTAAGAATCATATTTGTTATCACTGTCCCACTTCACTGTACAGATCATCTTATGAGTGCGGAACTCAAACTTGTTCCATCCAACGACGGGTGGGATGGAAATAATTCCTGCAATAACCCAAACAGCACCAATCATGAAATAGCAACGCATTCTTGTGATCTTCATCCGGTAGTGCAAGGGGGAGACAATAGCACAGTATCTGTCAATTGATATCACAACCAGAGTCAGTGTACTTGCAGCAAATACAAAATTGAGAACGAAACCAGTCACCTGACACCACACAAGTCCAAAAATCCATTCTCCGTATATCAAACTTGCAAAGGCAAATGGAATAATTATCAACGCAGTCAAACAATTGCAAGCAGTTAGGTTGAGCTGGAAACAGTTTGAAATTGTAAATGATTTGAACTTCTTGTAAAATAAAAGAAATACAAAAGAGTTTAGAGAAGTACTAGTGAGGAACACAAACAAGAGGAACGTTCCTATTAAAGTTAACTTGACTGTCTCAAGTGTCATGTCTTCAACAGGGCAAGACGCGCCCGCTTTGGAACAGTTGAACGTTAACGATCTCATCCTCTCATCCTCATGCTGCCCACTCATCTCGCTGGCGTTCGTGGTTGTGTGAGGTTGCAGGGCTGGCAGCGGCTTTATAGGCACCAGTCGCAGAAATCAATAGAGATTAGCTGATATGTCTAACATCTTCACACTCCTGGTCCGTTGTGGCTTGATGAAATAGACGTGGTCCCTTTAGAAGTCACAAATGTTTCTCTCCTTATTTCCTTGGGGCGTAGTGGCGAAGGCGGGGGCACTTGTTCATAAAGGCGCTTTGTGCGAATCAAGTACTTTGGCAATCTTCAAAACGGCCTCGATCAGCGAACTGGAAGATAAAAGGTTAATTATTAGGACTCTGAGATGAATTGAAAATGTTTCAGCAGGACGATAAAAAGTTAATTATTAGGATTGTAAGAAGCTCTGAAGATGTGTTAGCAGGACTAGCATTTCCTGTTCACAAACACCTGGTGTCATCACTGATTCGCAGTGTTCCATGTAATTAATTCACATCACTAATTCGCCTTTTACCCCAATGGAATCTGTTTCGGCAGATACTAGTAATCAAGACTGATTTATCTCTGGTTTTTCATATTTACATCCGTCCGAAAATGAAAGCTGAATATAATGGATGACTTGTGCATCGACTTCCACTTCAATTGGCCAATGTCAACCCAAGGATTTATCACTCCACACTTTCTGTGGATAGCAGCAGCCTATCAATTACGATGGCGTGGAATCAATACAGCAACATAAAAATACACCTACCCACTACTACATAACCTATACATACATGGCTTCGTTTCTGTCATAGGCAGATATTAACAAAGGACAAAGAACTCCGAATCTAATAACACATCGTGGTCTAAACAGGCTTTACATAACGTTTGAGCTGATCATCTCTTTTGGGACTTTGAACATATTGACGGAGGAGATGTTTCATCTTAGAGGCATGGCATGCAATATATTACGAACTCTGAAGCATGTTATGAATACCCCGTTTAATATAAATAGAAGTTTATTTGTATGCCACAAAGAATAACTTAATGAAAAGCGACAAAAATAGTATATTACTGGAGTAATTTGGGGCTTATTTTGGTTTGACATCACTTGGTCTATGATTGACTCAGGAGCATGACCCTACACACAGATGTAGCGATGCATCATACATGTAGGTCACAGTCGTATTTGGGGGCACGGGTGGCCCAGTCGTCTAAGGCGCCGCGATTCGCTGTGCAGAGTTGCGTCCCTTAGGCACGCCAGAAACCTATGATTGTGGGTTCGAATCCCGGTTCGCCCCGATTATGTTTCTAGGTTTGTCAGCACCATACCCGTGCTCGTGGGTTTAACCGAAGTGGTAAACGTCTGAGACCTGCATCACTTCGGGCTTTCCTCTCGCATTAAGCTGACACGCCATGATATGACTGGAATACTGTTAAAAGCGGCGTTAAACCCAACTCACTCACTCACTCACACTCACAGTCGTATTTCATTTTTGGCTGCAGGATTTTGTTTGTACAATCATAAGTTTTTTCTTATTGCTCCACATAGTTTTTTTGTGAACATATTTCGTGAAAAGGAAATGCTAGTCCTGCTAAAACATCTTCAGAGCTTATAATCCTAATAATTAACGTTTCTTGTAACGTGTGCCGTGACAGCGATTTTGGCAGGTTAAAACGGCTGTTACTTTAAACAAGTGCAGCAGCAGCACCTTGTTACGAAATTGATTCCCGTGATCACTAATGGACTAAAACGTTTCGTTTAGATAATACAACTTGTTTGTAGCCCTTTGTCGTTTAGCAAACATGGTGCATTGTCATTTAGTGTGAAAGGAATATTGTCCTTTATAAAGTACCAAATATATAAAACAATCAGGACATATTTGGGTCACTACTTTTGTTGACATTTGTCGATGATATATTGGGTGAATCAGCGCGTTCAAAGCAAGTCGCAGTGTGAAATTATCCCTAATAATGTTATAAAAGCTTGAATCTTTTGAGGATGGACGCAAATATTTGCACTTTACCATCTTAAGGCAAAATGGTTATCAAGAGAGTGACTTTTATTCAATAACGATGAAACATTTACATTAAACGGCGACCGCCGTCTTTAATACGGATATATATAAGTTGCCTCATACATCTTGCGTCTAAGCTCAATGGACGGCCTGAACGTCAGACACTGTTACCGATACTAATGAGCTGGTCAATCTGGGGCCAGACATTCGGTGAGGATTGCGATACCTTCACACTTCCCAATAGAATATAGCCGAGACTGACATGAAAATCACTCACAAAAGACCTACATATGAACTTTGCAAAGTACTTTCAAGAGTTTGGATTATACAATACGACTCCTCGACACGAAGCAAGAATCGAAAATATACTGTTGTTTTGTGAGAGATTGAGTGAGTTTGCTGTAACTCCGCTTTGAACATTATTTCAGTTTTACAGTGCATCACGTTTACTTTTTTGGTAAAACCCACGAGCATCTGGGATTCGAATCCAAAATCCTCCTGTCACGATTAAGGGCGCACCTCTGCACAACCAATTCTGGAACCTCAGACTTCATGGCCATGTCGTGTTATTAATATCTACGAATATTGTGATAAATCATGAAACTATTAAAGATTTACTAAAGCATCCATTTTATGAATAAATGTAACAGGTTGTTATGGTGAATACTGAGTCGAGAACGATCTGTGTATTTAAAGTAGAATTTGATGGCGACAGAAGGGAGCACTGACAATATCGGAATATTCTGGGTGAATCTGCAGGAGGTACCAAAGGGATGTCTATTTTATCCTCCTAGTTGCCAGCAGTCTCCGCATCTGCCACGTGTTGATTTATTTATCCCTTGGTACCACGACCTCGTCGGGACTTGATTTGGAATTGACATTCTTGAGTATTCGTGATAGCTCTGTCATTACTGGAGGAACGCTTCCTGATTTTGAACGATTGTTTCTACACAGCAAAGGATTGTCCTAACTAAATGGATCTAGTTTACGTTCATTTTGAAGCAGTCAGATGTGCAATCATAAAGAAGGACTTATGTATTTGATCTTCTTTTAATGAAAATTTCAATGTTATGTCTGAAACTTGCTCCTGACTGATGACGGTTAAGGAGCCTAAATCAAACAGATAATATCGTGGAACATGAACAGACGAGATGGCAGAATGAGAGGGATTGTGATTTGGGTGTAACGCGAGTTTAAGCAGTATTTAGGTACACTATTCGTTAAATCAATACCTGCGTGATCAAGTGATACAGGATCTGATATGTTACCCTGACAGATCAAGGGATACATCGTGCATTCGAAACACCCAGGTAATGGATCACAGTTCATATGGCGTTAGACTCGTGGGCCATCCCACTCAAATGTGCCTTGAGCGGTGAGTGGGCGAGTTAGAATTTTACTTCGCATCGGCAATGTCTCAGATATATAACGACGGGAGCTTATATGGGTTTGTTAAAACACATACAATGAAACAGTAGGGTGGATATCACAGATGCAATAACCAGTCCAATTATCCGTCCAAACAGAGTCCTTTTAGTGGAAAGGTAAAAATAGCTGTGAAAATTATACGAATTGATAACTGGAAATCAGTGACGACACCAGGTGTTCGCGAAAAGGGTAAGCATGCTCCGGCCTATCGGTACGGTAGCACCCGCCATAAAACAAACCACAGTGTTGGCAACTACCTGAATTACAACAAAGGCATGTTATTTCAACACATATTTAACATTTACAGAATGTTCACAAATGTCCACCAATAGATATAAAAATATTGGCAAACGGAAATATCAGTATTGTGGCGGGTCGAGGGAGGGAGTTGATTTAGATAGGTAGAATAATCTATCAACAGAGACACAGAAAAAGATCAGCTGTACATCTTAAAAAACATTCATCGTTAACAACACATTCACGTCATTATGCTGATCATGGTGTATTATATTCAGTCAAATGGAATGAAATTTGTTGTCATCCTGGATAATCTAAACACAAGCCCATAATTCGTCTGACGTCATCTTTCCATGTTTACATTTACCAAGTAATTGAGACAATCCAAACGAAAATCTAATATAAGTTGTTTGAGTGAATGGGTGAATTGGCAGGATTTGCCTCTTCAGGTGATAGCGGACCCCCTGGCTGTGCGTTTCTATCCAGGTGATAGCGGACCCCCTGGCTGTGCGTTTCTATCCAGGTGATAGCGGACCCCCTGGCTGTTAGTTTCTATCTAGGTGATAGCGGACCCCCTGGCTGTGCGTTTCTATCCAGGTGATAGCGGACCCCCTAGCTGTGCGTTTCTATCCAGGTGATAGCGGACCCCCTAGCTGTGCGTTTCTAGCCAGGTGATAGTGGACCCCCTAGCTGTGCGTTTCTATCCAGGTGATAGCGGACCCCCTGGCTGTGCGTTTCTATCCAGGTGATAGGGAACCCCCTGGCTGCGCGTTTCTATCCAGGTGATAGCGGACCCCCTGGCTGTGAGTTTCTATCAAGGTGTTAGCGGACCCCCTTGGCTGTGAGTTTCTATCCAGGTGATAGCGGACCCCCTGGCTGTGCGTTTCTATCCAGGTGATAGCGGACCCCCTGGCTGTGCGTTTCTATCCAGGTGATAGCGGACCCCCTGGCTGTGCGTTTCTATCCAGGTGATAGTGGACCCACGGGCTGTGCGTTTTTATCCAGGTGAATTTTCCGGGGTAGAATAGGTCTTCAACAACCCATGCTTGCCGTAAAAGGTGACTATGCTTGTCGTAAAAGGCGACTAACGGGATCGGGTGGTCAGGCTCGCTGACTTGGTTAATGCTACTTGCAGCGTGATGCACGTTAACAGTACTAAATAATGCATTGCATTATTGCACCTTTACATAAACCTGAATTCAATAATAAACATCACAACCAGGCAAATCCGGAAGTGTTTTAAGCATAAGAAAACTCACCATACATACATACATCCTATTCAGATTGTCTGATCGCGTGTTGCGAGCCTATGCTCCACAGGTTTCATTGATTCCGGAGCGGTAACCACGAACCTCATCCATCACGACAAATGGAAATTAGAGAACGACAACGGGGAAACTATTGACTGTTGTATAAACCGCATTTAAGGCAGTGTTCTCAATGGCGTCTGTACTGAATCCACGGTAATTTCGTCGAGGACATATGGTACGTTTGGATTCATCAACGCTTATTGTATTGAAGTGACAAGGCTTGAACCCCAGTGCAACTTGGGCCTTACTTTCCATGGCGACCTCAGAGGACCTTGTCAGTGTTCACAATCATGGTTATTAGAACTAGTTGGAATCAATGCTATACTTA